ATTTAAAAATCTCATTTTTAGTTCAAAACGAATTAAGATTTAAGAAGAAATAGTTTTGCAGAAGCTTTTTACTGATTCTAGTTCTTCGCGCGTTTATGATAGCACCCGCTTTAGAAAATAATCTCTCACATTTCGTTTCACAATAACATTAAATAATCCACAATAACAACAAACAGAAATGCGTGTTTGGCAAACCTGTTCAACTAACGTTCAAATAACTTTCATTTCATCTCTAACTGAATTTATATTTAAAAATGGCTGGGTTTTCATCGGAAGTTAGAAATGGGTACCCAAACCAATTAAGCTCATGACGTTCTACCTCTGTACCGTAATTCTACATTCAAAAATTAATTATATTGCGGCATTTTTTTAAATTCACAGTAAAAGTAGAAGTTAAAATATTTCTTCTAGCGTTAACTGACACCAAACTGATAAAATAAAATAAATTTTGTTTGTGGCCGAAAATGTTTATAGTAAAACTGGTTAAAAATTGATGAAAAATTAACCAAAATTTTATTTACACTTTGGCACCGTGTATCGCGGAAACTATTGGCTTTCAGATAAGTCAAATTTCAATACCTTTGCATAAGCAGTATTCTACTGAACCTTAGCACATTAGTTGAGGAAAACCCTGTATGTGAATTGAAACAGCTAATAGCTATCATCGGGTCGTAACGAGCTGTTAACTAAACAATGGTTAAAACAAAAGTTGGTAAACAATTTATTGTCTAAAATACTGACAATATAAAGTATTACGCTTACCTGCAAAAAATCGCGTGGCGTAGCTCCAAGCACCTGCAGGATTTTGTCGTAACCAGAATCCTGGCAAAATTCAAAAAACGTTTTTCCGAATAATTCCAATATTGTGTTTGCTGGTATATCTGAAAAGTGACTTTGTGCGTATTTAACTTAGAATTTGTTCAAAAGTTTCCAGTTATAGCTCAGTAATTTTTTAAATCATCCCAATTTTCTTATCGCTTCCCTTTCTCTGAATGTTGATCTGCTTACTACAAGACTTGAATTTATTTTATACGTTTTATCTAATCAAGTGGGGATTTTACGCATGTTTCAACGGTTTTTGTAAAACCTTCCAAATTCAACCAAAAATAAAACCTTAAACTTCTCAAGTAAAATTAATAATTTAAAAGATATAATTCTATCTAAACTTCCTTTAATAACCTCCTGAAACCGGAAATATTAAATTTTCTGTGGAACATTCAGGTTTCGAACTTACTTTGGATTACTTACGAACTTACGTGCGATCTTGCTTCGCGGAATTAGAAATCTTATTAAGTTTGAAAACTTACTCAAAACTTCCACAGCAGCGTAAATTAAATTGTAAGTCAGTTCATCGTCGTAGATCTGTCGAACTAAAAACTGGCCCTCCATTTGGACTTCTGCATTTTTCCTTAAAGGAAAGTTTCCATGAAAATTGTCATAAAAGTTGAAGGGGTCGAAATGTAAACTTAAGTTATTGAACACGGAGAGTTTCAACTTTTTCTCGCTTTCAGCAATGAAGCAAATGGTTAAGGGAAATGTTTTAGTTTTTTAATAAAATACCTCCTGACAATCGCTTTGGAAACTTCAAAAACTGCATTGAAGTATAAATTATATAGTATGCGTATTTACTTTTATTGCAAGATTTAAACAAACATTTTGGTAGCAAAACTAGAATGTATGCTTTTGCTAGATCTTGTATTAAAAAAATGCTGAGAAGCTGTCAAGATGTTTTGAAAAACATTATTACAATACGAGGGTCGTTTGATAAGTGAGTGACTTTTTGAATTTCCCGCGCAGTAACTTTAAATTCAACACTTCTCCCGTCAACTGTCGTTTGTTAGTAGACTGCCGTGAAATTTTGAGCACGCGACGTCATTTAATTCGTGTTTAATAGTCATTGATAGGAGATGACTTCGTCAAGTTCGACGAAAATGGAAAAAAGTGAATTTTGAGTGCTCATCAAGGATTATTTTTTATGTACAAAAACCATCAAATAAGTGAAGGAAAAGCTTGATAAATACTATCGGGATTCCGCACCCTCAATTTTCATGGCTAATAAGTGGTTTACTGAGTTTCGTTGTGGTCGCACCAGCACAAATGACGCAGAACGTTCAGGTCGTCCAAAAAAGATTGTTACGCCAGAAATGGTCGATAAAATCCATGGAACCAACCTGGACTATTGGAGAATAAAAGTGCGTGAGGTGGCTGAGGCTGTAGGCATCTCAACTGAGACGGTACATCACATTTACATGGACATTTCTATATGAAACAGCTATCCGCACGATGAGTGCCGCGATTGCTGACTCTCGACCATAAGCGCTCTCTCGTGAACATTTCAAATGAATGTTTAGCGATGTTCCGTCGCAACCCGAACCAGTTTTTGTGACGTTTCGTAACCTTTGACGAAACGTAGATTCATCACAACACCAAAAAGAACAATCAAAACAGTGGGTTTCTTCAGGTGAACGTGCACCAAAAAAAGGCCAAAAAAGGCCACAAGGTGATGGCCACGGTTTTTTGGGATGCACGCAATGTCATTCACATCGATTACCTTGAAAAGGGTAAACCAAGTACATCGAGCAAAAAAGAGATCGAGATGGCAAAAAAACGTTTTTTGGCCGCAAAAAATTAGTTTATTCAAAAAGTTACTGATTTATCAAACGACCCTCGTATAATACAAAGGTCTAGTGACATGAATGTGAACAAAATGTACTTTCCACGACTTTTGTTTTAAATAACATATTTTACTTACTTGATAGTTTCCCATGTTTCTTCGCCAAAAGTTTTAATCACCAACAGCTCCAACGCATAATTGACAAATCCATACTAAAATAAAAAGATGTTTGCCGAAATACTTTTTTTCATCTTTTATTGGTTTGACGATTCTCAATATTCAAGTAAAATGAAACCGCAGCTGCTAAACTTTAGTTTTCCATAACTTGCACGTAACTTTCACTTTTACTTAAGGTTTTATTTTTTCAACATTACGATGAATTTTGTGACCCCGTCGAGAGTCTTTTCCATACTGCAGGACAGATTTACATAGTTGAAAATGCACCCAATTTCAGACATTGTGCTTGGAAATTGTTATGCTAATGTCTTGTTTATATTTAGTTATAATAGCACACTAAAATGTCGATATTTTAGTTATGAGCGGTCGGTAACATAAATCGAATTGTTAGCATTTAAGCACTCTTTATTGGGTTTTTTTATATAGTTGCAAACGGCCGATGTTTTCATTGTCTGAATATAACACACTGGACCAAACTTGATATTTGGTAAGTCTATTGCCAATAGGTGCCTTCAACGATCCAGAAGGCAGATATCGAATTTTAAATATTATCAAGCAATCAATATTAACTGCAGCAAATGCTGATTTTTTCTGCGTACGTACCATTTTGCGAGTTTTGAGAGGTGATGAAACTTCAAGAAGTAACGGTGTATAGCATTAGATTTGGAGAGCGACTGAAATTCCACCAAAGCGCCATCCTGAAAATCGATCGCTATGTAGACGCAGGCGTTAAAGTTTTATTCGCTATAATTTTGAAATAATTTAATGAATTAATGCTCATTAAGTGAATCATACAGTTATGGATTACTGTGGATGCTGTTTTACAAGATCCACAGGATTCAGGACCAGGCTATCCATGAAAACTAAGGATATCCGTATATATTTCAAAATTGAAATTTTTATCTTCAGTAAGTGTAATTGTACAAAAGAACTTCCATTTATGTGATCATCAGGATTATGATAACTGCATTTGACATTTTTCCGTACTTAAATGATTTTCGAAGACAAGTACTGAGAGCAAGTTGTCGCCTTCCTCTAGATTTCTATCAGATCTTGTTTGGCTTCCATAAGACTTTCGCCTAAATCAAGCTCTTTCGAAAGAGGCAACAGGGTATTTGCATGAAATTAATTTTTATTGAAAACATACTAGAATTCAACCTTTGTGGCATATAAATACTCTACAACAAAAATAAATCCCGAAAAAAAATCATTTTTATATTTAAGGGGCTTGCAAATCTGATCAAAGTGACGTCATGCGAAAACGCTTTGTTACTTCGGCTTGTGTTTTATGGAGTTGTCTTATTAGTGTATTTTTATTCTTTTGTGGATTATTGTGGAAAAATTGTAAAAAAAGATCCTGTTACAAAAAAAAACGTGTTAGGAACTAAGTGGAACTTTACTGCTTAAATGGATCAAGATATATTCAATACGATGTGGCTATTGACCCATTAAATGATGCAACATTTAAGAAGGCAAAAGACGCTTTGCGACCTAGCTAACAAAGCGATGTGGATAAAAGAAAATACACTTCCGCAGCTTTTCCTTATCATGAACTATTGAAATTGATCAATTTAAACGATGCAACGATACTATATATAGATATGATAATTTAAACGATACTCCAGAAGAAAAAACTATTTCATGTAATGTCAGATCAGCTGGAATTGCGAGCAGGCGTGGCTTCAAGTTGCCCGATGAAGTTTTTCTGATAGGAAATTCTAACGCTCTAACGTTTCTAACGTTCTGCGACGTCTTCCCATTTCCATCTCTCGGTCGTTCCATAGCTCTTTGTCTTTAAGTTCCCTGACGATACTTTCTCTTCAGCTTTATCGGTGTCTCGGGACCTCGGATACGAAGGTTGTTATGCTTGAGCCGAATGAGCCTTTTCGTGCCTGAGAGTGGAATGCCCATAGTATTGCACTTCTCTTTCCATTTCTCCAAGATTCTCACCAGGTATATTTTGAATAAGGTCGGTGAGGTACAGCAGCCTTGTTTCAATGCTTTTGACTCTAGGTAGCCGGGTGTTATTTAATTTCCTAATTTTATCTTCATAACAGGTTCTTTGTACAGACTCTTGATGCCTTTAACTATCTCTATGTTTATGTTCGTTTTCTATACTACTTCCCAAAGTGCGCTTAATGGAACATTATCGTAAGCTTATTTCAGATCCACAAATAAGAGGTGGATTTGTTGGTTGCGTGACGACGACTGATCTACCCGGACGGAATTCATCTTGTTCCTTTGCTTCTATTTATTTGTATTTATTTTCTAGCCTATTTTTCAAAATTTTGCCTAACATTCTACACGTAGTGCTTGTGAGCGCTATGCCTGAATGGTTCCCGCACCTATACTTACCTCTTTTTTTGCTTTTTTGTAAGATGTGATATGCTCCAATATTTTGGGATTTCCGATATATTTATACATTTTTGGAATAGTATTGTCAAATTTCTCTATAACCTCTCTGTGCCATATTTGAGGAGCTCGCCCGAAATAATTCCCGCTTCGAGAGATTTTGTATTGTTCAACTCTTTGCTTCCTTACTTCTCCTACTGTTCTTCTAAGTGGTGGCCCGGGACGTTAACATTGTTGCGTTGTACGATTCGTTTATATCTTTGAATTCCTGTCTATTCCGTGAGTAGCTCTTGAAAATACTGCTCCCATTGTGGTTTATTTAGTGATATGATTTCTATCTTTTTGTTGCTCTTGAAGGGTTTTATTATTTTCCAACTTTCTGAGCTTCTGGTTCCTCCTATGTAAGTGAATTTTTCTATTCCTTCCTATTCTTTGGCATCTCATGTCACATATTTTCCTTCTCACTAGTGCTTCTACCTTTTTATATTCAGATAGAACTTCTGTTTTTTTTTAGTTTAGATGTTTTTGACATTTCAGATTCTTCTCTCCCATAATTTCTTCAATGTATTCATCCCATCAATGCCGGTTGTTCTGATTGTTCCTTTTGTAGCTGCGGCTAATGCTTAACGAATTCGTCCGCTACTTCTTGTAAGCATTCCTTGATATCTTTGTAGTAGCTATTAATATTAGTGACGTGCGTTTTTCTTAATTTTTCGTTTAATGCATTAATTTTTAATTCTGATTGCCTGGAATCTCATGTGAGATTAAACATCACATTCCAGGCAATTAAAACGGAAACAATCTGATGTTTAATCTTAATAAGTAATCTTCACTTCCGCATGTTGGTACCCTCTATACTCTTACATCTTCTACTTTGTTTGCTGTTTCACTATTCCATAGTCTATTATGGCGTTTAGGTTTCTTAAATTTGAATCCACGTGTACTTGTAAATCTCCTAGAGTGTATAGAAGCTATTAAATTTTTTAGGTTGTTATGCGTGCACAGCGCAATTAGTCTTTCTCCGTTGTTGTTGGTCATTTTTTCGCCATATTTATCGACAACGTTATTTATTTCTTTTGCCCTATTCGGCCACTAAGATCTCCAAAAATTCCAGTTCCCCAGAGTTGCCAATTTTTGTGACTTCGTCATTAAGTTGCTCGGAAACGCTATCTTTAAGTTGTGCTAAAGTGTCATCGTTTACTGCGTATACCCCCAAAATTACTATCCTCTATCCATGTGTTGTCAAATCTACGATCGAGTATACTCAAGTTTATTCAATAACCTGTCAGGATGGAGGTCGAAAACGAACACGAAGTAAATGGCTTATTAGAAATACTGCCAATGAGGTTATGTCTGGCATAGGAGGGATGTTTTGTGTGTCCGTGGAACCTAGTGGAATTCGGTAGAAATTTGAATCACACCAGATTAGGCCTGGGTAACTCAATGAATTTCTAGGAGTTGGCGCAGCGCTACGCAAATAGTTTGGTGCGCCAACCTAACGCACCGGCGCAGTAACTCAGTTCCGTTGCTGGGAAAATGTTGATGACTTTTCTTACTTGCTTTTAGATTTATTTTAAGGGTCATATAAATAATATTTCTAATATTTCTTCAAAATTTCAGAATTTTCCAGTTTTAGCAAAGTTACTCTTTTTTCTAAATGATCAATTTTCTAAAGATTTATTATGAAATACATTTTATTAGAACACTCCCGTCCTTCGTCGTTTTGTAAAATGTTTTGAAATCCCTTTCCCGCTTCGAATTCGGGACAAAAAATTTAAAAAAATTCTATTAATAAACGAACTGCATAAGCGAAAGTTTATAATAAATAATTTGGAAAATTCGTGATTTACACTCCTCTGAAGACTGTAGAGTTTGTTTAAAAAATGCGATTTTTTATTTTTGACTGAATTTTTTTACTTTGCTTTCCACTCAAAAACACTCTACTTTGTCGAGACACTGAGGATCTGGATGTATTTTACGCGAAAAATTACAAAATAAATTTATAGCTTTGTAGGAATGTTACAAAAACTTTTGAGTCGAATTGAGGACAAACACGAAAATTAATTTATTCGGTTTTTCCCCGGAAACTATTAAGGTCTTCGCAAAACCCGATCACAGAACTGTAAGTTTTTAACCAAAAGCGCAAAACAATTAATTTTCTGATGATTTTCTTCTTTTCTGAAAATAATGGGATCTTTGCAGCCAAAAATTGCAGAATCGGGTTCGCTACCCTTTGAAACTACTTGTATTGAAAAACACATCATTACGATATTTTATTTTAAACGGTGTTTCACTGTCACAATATAAAAAAACACACAGCACAGCGAAACGAACGAAAATTTAGAAACCATACTGCAGCTCATTAAAAACTTTTAATTTTAATTTCATATAAAAAAATTAAATGTTTTAATTTTTGTGAATGAATGTAAACTGTTTGTTTTAATCAGTTGCAATATGTTTTTTTTTACGACAATTAAACAAACAATGAATGTGCTCGTCAATGAAATCGGTTGAATCTGGCTGCAGTTAGTTTCCGTTGCATTTGCCTCATTCTGCAATCCTGAAAAAGAACTGATTACAAATAACTGCAAAACTAAACGATTGTGAATAATTTTTACAATATGATGTTTTTCATGCGAATGTTGAATGACTGCTTCAAGAGTTGTGCCAAACGTTCGCGAAACGAAAAAAAAATTTCAAAATTTTTGCTCGATGTGAAGAGTACCGAAAAAATCACAACGGGGACTCGTTGACGACGTTCACGACGTTCACAAAGTACCGAAAAAATCACAACTTCAATATTTGCTGTCATTTTTGTTAACTTATTGCGCTTTTTTTCTTCTCGCAACAGGTTTCCTTCTCGGTTTTTGAAACGGTCAGCAGCTGCAGCATTTTCTTTCAGAGCCATGATCTGAATAGGTTACTTGATCATTGCAAACAAATATTTAATATAATAGTATACAGGGTGATTCAAAATTGGCGTCATTCCTTTTAAGGGGTAATAGCGGCTTGGAAGGTACGAGGAAAACACTGAAATACTAATAAATAATAACTTTTTTTTCGATAATTTCGTCATTCAACGATTCCTGTTGAATATACCGTTTATCTTTGTCTATCTTATCGTCATTTTCTCTATTTATCCATTGTTCCCGAAGTTTTACATAATTACAATGCAACAGGTATTTACGTAACGTTAATTAGGGAAATTACCTTGAAAAACATTGTTGCCGTTTTTCTAATATGTTTTTTCAACTTTCTAAGTTTTTAATGACAATTAATTTTTTTTGCTATTTTTTCTGTACTCCTAAAACATCCGCCGGAC